TTGCGTGAACATTTGGGCGGCGTTATGCAAATCTTCCCATATAGTGATGTAGATATGTGGGGGCGTGTTAGAACGAGCCGTTTTAGGTAGGTGTGGTTGACTCTTAACTTTTATAAAGAATATCTCTTTGGATTCGAGACGTTAGTCTTTGCAACTTTACAGATCTTCTTTATGCACCAAGAGCTTGAAACACTCCAAAGAGAAAGGAAGCATTGAAATCGCATCATATGACCCCTTTAAATACTAAAATCATAACTCCACATCTCAGAAATCCAATGCAAACATCTCGTCTTTCACAGGGAAACTGATCAACCTCAAGGAATTACGTGTGAATTATAATAAACTGTTAAGCATTCCACCTGAACTCGGAGAATGTGAGAATCTGGAACGATTAGAGATGACGGCGAACGGAAACCTGGCCGAGCTTCCCTTTGAGGTGCGACAGCATATAAAATGTGTTCTTATGCATGCATTACTTTACTAAACACGCCTTTTTTGTGTGCATTATTCCTTTTTCAGCTGAGCAATCTCAAAAAACTGAAGCACTTGGACGTGGCAGAGAATCAGTTTGTCAGTATCCCGGTCTGCGTGCTTCGCATGGAAAGCCTGAAGTGTTTGGATATCAGCAACAACAGACTCAAAGACCTGCCGGAGGACATCGACAGGTGAGTGTTTGCGGTGCTTCTGTTCATCATCATCTGTTCATCATGTGCCTGACGCTGAATCTGCTCCTCATCAGGCTCGAGGCATTAGAGACGCTGTTCCTTCATAGAAACAAAGTGCGACACGTGCCGATGACCGTGATGAAGCTCATCCATCTGAAGATGCTGGTCATCAGCGCAGACGAGCTGTACAGCATCCCGTCTCAATTAATCGACAACCCTAATATCAAGTAAGTGCGAACCCTACAGAGCCACTAATGGTGATGGAAAAATGAGATGGGGAGGAAAAATTATATTTCGATGCTTTTGCTTGCAAAACCTGTGCACTCTCTCCCAAAACTAGTGCGTTCCCCTGAGAAACCTTGGGCCTCATTTATAAAATGTGTGTACGCACAGATTTGATCTTAGAGTGTGCGTACTCTAAAATCCATGGTAACGTTCATATTTATAAAAACGCTCTTTGACGTAAAGTACTTACCGTCACGTCAGGGTCTGAGCACCCTGTTGAAAAAAACCAGCATATGCTGGTTAGGTATGTGTTGAAGCTGGGATGCTGGTTTAAGCTGGTCCTAAACTGGTCCGACCAGCTTAAGACCAGCACATGACCAGCATAAACCAGCAAAGGACCAGCTCAAAACATATCTAACCAGCATATGCTGTTTTTTTTCAACAGGGCAGGTGTAAGCACTTTAGTCAGGGGAAGATTGTGCATGCGTGCATCTCCACCCCGACTCCTCCCCGAAATCACCTTATATGGAACTTACAATGCCTAGTTTTATTATGCATAACACCTCATCTTCATATCATTTACATGCATATTCCCATCCACGTGACACCATGTTTAACACCATCAAAGGTACAAGACATTAAGGAAATATGAGACTATAAATGTCATTTGTGCCATACACATACATTTTTATTGCTAAAAACCATCCGGTATCCTTGCTATGTTTTAGAATACATACATCAAAATATCCATAAAAACTGTTTAAAATAGTTCTCAGAAAAATAATTTAGAACAGAGTTGATCTCATTCATTTCCACTGGCCTAATAATATTTTTAAAAAATGCTAATTAAATTAAATGAATGCAGTTTTGCTGATAAGGTGAACATCTTTTAGTGGAAAAATATAGGCCTATATTTATTGCAGTGTAAATACAATTATCTGACTCTGCGCGTCATTGGAAACGTGCAAATCTTACTGTTTTCTTCAAGTTGTATCCTTCAAATACAGTGGTATTTTTCATAATGTTGTGGAGATGCTTCACCTCCGTGCAGCTGCGGTTGTACAGTAAGCTATTATCATTGCTCCTATTCAAACCGGACCATAGACCGTTCCACCAAATCCAGAAGTGTCTGCCATAATATAGAAGCGAGTGTGCATCACTGATCATTGTTCTCGCTAAAAATATTTTCTAATAACATGAGATATGCAGTTTAGCTTAAAGAAATTATTGTGCACCTATAGCACTCCTCGCTGCCATTAAAACAAGTTTGTTTTTTTATAAATCCCACCTTTTGCAAGTGGCGTACGCCTCTTTCAGGGCAGGTTTTGTGCGTACACAACAGTTATAAATGAGGCCCCTGGACATGAATGGCATCAGAGCAGTACGTGTCTCATTCTGTGTTTTTATTTTTAGAATCTGAGTGAATGCTGCTTGCTCCAACCCCCTGAAAAGACTTTTTAAAGCAGCGCTGATCTACAGTACACTGTCTTTCTGTTCCAGATTAATCCGATTATACGACAATCCAATAAACACTGAGAATGAAGACATGAGCACGGACTCAGAAGCTCAGGACGGGCGTGACAAGGAGTTCATGAAGACATACATCGAGACCCTTCAAGACAGAGGTGAGTGATGATAAATCCATCCGTTTAAATTAAATATTAATTGTGTATATATATATATATATATATATATATATATATATATATATATAAGCAGTGTAGGTTAAAAATAATAAATAATTACAATTTATTATTTTACAATTTATGGTAAAAAAAAATATATCAATTCCTCTTCCTGTCATTATAATTAACATTTCAGTTCAGCTTCTTGTTAGTTGCGGCCAATTCGATTCAGATTCACATTTATTCATTGAAAAAGAATCCATTTCTAAAATTTTGCCCAAACGTGCTGATTTTCTGAAGCTGTAAAATCAAACAAATATTACTGGAGCACTTTTTACAAGAACATAATATTTGAGTCTTTCTACTTGAAATCTGCATGTTTAAAGGGGTCATATGATGATGCTAATAAGACGAACGAGCCGTTTTAGGTAGGCGTGGCTGACTCTGAACTTTTATAAAGAATATCTCTTTGGATTTGAGACTTTAGTCTTTGCAACTTTACAGATCTTCTTTATGCACCGAGAGCTTGTAACACTCCAAAGAGAAAGAAACAATTGAAATCGCATCATATGACCCCTTTAATTTAATGTTACACTTTCTGTTTCTTTCTAATTACTGGTGAAATTTACTAGCAGTTTCAAAGTAAATGCAAAACCGTTTTTTCCCCCAGTGCATCATTCAGTACACACTGATAACATCATACAGAACTTTAAACACAGCGCTTCATTTGGAAAACATTTTGTGCATCATTTGCAGATATTAAGCTTTAGCTAATGGTTCCTCAAATGACTCTTTTTCAGAGACTCAGCCGTCATACACCACTAAAGTCTCCCTGAGCTGCCTGCTGTAGAAGCGCATGAACGTCTGCTTCACGACTGTAAATATGACACAGATTGATATCAGTGCGTTTTAAACGCTTCCACTGGAGTCTGCTTATTAGTTTTCTCATTCCGAGTTCAATTAAAACTAAAACGCAGGGTACACTGGATGCCACGTTGAGAAGCTGTTAGTATCTAAAGCTTTCTTTTGTAGCAGCGTTTACTATTATTCAAGAAAAACAGTTAGTAGGGTTGAAGATCATATTTTCCTTTTTGACTGCATTTATCATTCTTACTAGTTCTGAACCTGAACCCACTTTGATTTGGTTTTCTGTGAAGAGTTCCATTGTTTAGTTTGACCAAACGTTTCACAGCATGACGTTGAAACTTTTTCTGTCTTGAAGTCGATATTTTATAAGAGTGCCGTTTTAATTCATTTCAGTTAAATAAATTCTAATTTCCTATTTTGCCTTCAGCCATAAATACGACACGTGCATTTCTCTGTCGATGGGAAACACTATAAATTCCAATCCTGGAATATGAAGTGGTTTATTGAAACATTGATCAATTAATATCTCAACGAACTTTTGTAACAAACATGCATTGATAAAATCTCTTCAATAAAGTCTTCAAGGAATGAATGCATAGACATGAAGAATGGCACCTAGAGCCGAAACAAAGTGCAGTTCATCGGAAAACACCTAAAGTAACTTCAGTGGGGTTAAGAGCTTCTGGAGTCAGTGTGCATTGATCTACAGCACCGTTTGCATAAATAGAATTACATCTACACTTCTGCTTTGACATCATTTTCAAGTATGCATCGTATTCAGGTCGCCAGAATTGGGAACGTTTCCTCTGCTCTGTGCTGCTCAAAAACATTAATTTAGTGCACGATAAAGCAGAAATCGTCATGGATTTAGGCTGTTATTGCTGCAGTGTGTTACATGATAAAATGCAATCAATCAGATAATCTGCTGCTAATGGAGTCGTGATGCGCAATTAACTTTTACTCCACTTTTAACATGCAAAGAAAATACATTTTTTAAATTAAATAAAATAACACAGAAGTCAGTAAGAGGAAGCAACGACGATAAATCAGTAAAGCCGTTTCAAAAACATTTGATTCGGTCCTCTGGAAATTATTTCAGGCAACGCAGAAACATGCCTTACAGGAAGAGTTCAGCCAAAACTGAATATGTGCTCTCTCAGTTCATCCTCAGATGTAGATGAGTTTGTTTCTTCATCAGATTCTGAGAAATGTAGCATTGCATCAGTGTCTCACTGCAAGTGAATGGGTGCCGTCAGAATGAGAGTCTGATAAAAACATCACAATAATCCACAGCACTCCAGTCCATCAGTTAACATCTGGAGAAGACAAAAGCTGAAACTAATCCAGCATTAAGACGTTTTTAACTCAAATACATAGAGTCCATAATCCATAATAACTCTTCCTCCAGTGAGTCAGTGTTCTGGTGTGAATCAGGAGAGAAATCTGCACAGATCAAGCAGCGTTTAAACAGTCCAAAAGCATCTTAATGCTGGATTAGTTTCAGCTTTTGTCTTCTCCAGATGTTAACTGATGGACTGGAGTGCTGTGGATTATTGTGATGTTTTTATCAGCTCTCGTTCTGACGGCACCCATTCACTTGCAGTGAGACACTGATGCAATGCTACATTTCTACAAACCTGACGAAGAAACACTCATCTACACCTCGGATGAACTGAGAGTGAGCACATATTCAGTTTTGGCTGAACCTTTAAATTAAGTCTGTGTAATTGTGAGGTAGCAGCTCTTGTGTTGAGTAGCTGGTGCTCATATACGAGTTACAGATTAAATACTATTTTCTTCATAATAATTCTTCTATCAAAGCCGCACCTGACCTAAAGGCAGTGCGCTTATGTCTGTTTTGTGCCGTTTATCGATAAAAGAAAGACGCTGCGCTCTGGCTGTACATGCCCTGCATGTTTAAATGCTCTTAACTCTGACATTATTACGACTGCAGTCTGTACAAGATTAGCGCAGAGGTTAAAGTTCATCAGTAATACAGTAAAGGACTACAGTTTACATTCAGATACACGAACTACACTGCGAAAATCATTTGTGTCGTTTTCCAGTATAAGTGTCTAAAGATTTTTATATTAAGACACATTTACTTGTGAAGCAAAATTACTTAAGATATTGTTTAATGAAAAATGTATCAACATGAAGTGAGGTTATGCTTAAAACAAGATTATAAAGCGGAGAGTTCCGGTGCTTGACTCTGATTGGCTGAGCCGTGTTCGAAGCTGTTGTAAATGACGCTACAAAGTAACACACACCTTTGTTTACGTTTGTGTGTTGCTCGGCAACCACTTTGTAGCAACCACAACTGTTTCTGAGGAGCTACATTGTTTGGTGGAAGAATACTGTTTTTATTAATATCATTACACTTTATTTGCTCTGTTTTATTTTGAGAAACCTTACTACGTATATAACCGTTTTATAAAAGCAGTAACCCCCGTGAAGCCGTGGTTTACAGTGAATTTATAACAGCTAAGGGGCGTTGTTAGGCACGACCAGAAGTCCTTAGCTGTTATAAATTCACTGTAAACCACGGCTTCACGGGGGTTACTGCTTTAACAAATAGCTGCCAAAAATCCAAAAGGAAAACAAGATTATTTTTCTGACTCATTAGCAGACATTTATTCTTGTTCTAAGCATAAACTGTCCAGAAAACAAGACTTCATAGTTTATATCTTAAGTCACTTTGCTTCTGTTTAGAGATTTGTTCTGAAAAATACGGAAGAACTTGATTTTTCGCAGTGTAAGCCAAACTGTGGAGAAGGCACATTCTCTTTCAAAGGATAAAAAAAATAAAAAAATACAGACGTTTAGACATTCAGTAAAAAGCTTTGTCAGACACACTGCTGGAATAAAACCCAAACCAGCAGCTTATAAACTGCTGTCCTGTAAAAGAGGCTCGTTGTCTTCGTCGCTCACAGGAACCGATCCGTTCTCCGTGACGCCGCTCGCAGGCTCCATCATCACACGCGTGTTGCACGTCTTCACCGCCGGAGCGTGTTGAGCCGGAATGAACACCGCTACCAGCAGAGCCAGAAGAACCAAACACGCTCCGAACAGGAATGGAGGACCTGGAATAACAGACTTCTGAAAGACAAAAGACAAGCACTGTACAGAAAGACACAGAAACAAACACTTCATACAGAGTGATTTCTGACCTCTTCAGTGTCTGGCGTGACGGGGTTCGGCTCCACGGGGCTCAGCTCCTTCAGTTCCACATTGAAGAGGAAGAATATGAATCCGAACAGAGCCGGGCCGAGTCCGTTACACAGACCTCGGATCCCTGTGATCATGCCCTGAACCGCTCCTAAACACACACACACACACACACACACACACACAGAGACACACACACACGCACACACACACACAGAGACACAGAGACACGCACGCACACACACTCACTCACACACACACACACAGAGACACACACACACACACACACACAGAGACACGCACACACGCACACACACACATGCGCACACACACACACGCACACACACACACAGAGACATGCACAGAGACTGAAATCCCAGTCCCAGCAGAACGGTGCTTTTATTCCCAATCTTCTTCATCAGAACGTTTAACAGTAACGTCTGCAAACGCAAACCATCATCAAGGATTCCACAAACAGCTGTATATCATCTCAGAAATGAGTGTCTGGAGCTGAAGGTCCGTACCTGTGCTACGATGGACAGGATTCCCACCATCGCAATAAACGCTGCGATCGCTTCTGACGAGAAGTTAATGACCTGAAACATAACGCACAGCTTCTAACGCCAGTCACACTCTATGCAATAAAGATTGGGTCAGCTTCAGTGTAAATAACAGTCGCAAACTCATTAATTATGAAAAGAATTCAATTTCAGCTGCTCTACAGAAAACTAAAGTGTCATTATTCATATCTAGGAAGGTCATGCACTGCAAAAAAAATAAAAAACGTCTTGTTTTTCAGTGTAAATACCTCTGAAATCAAGATGCATTCACTGATAACTGATATTAACTCTTGTTTTCTGAAAATCATCAAAATTAAGTGAGTTTATGCTTAAAACAGGAAGAAAAAAAAATTTGTCAATGGGTCAGAAAAACAAACTTAATCCAAAGGGAAGAAATTATTATTTTTTTTTTATTACTAATTTTGATAAATGTTTCAGAAAACAAGACTAAATATCATAAGTCATTTGTGACCCTGGAGCCCCATTTGTTACCCCATCTCAAAATTGAGATGTATGCATCAGCTGAAAGCTAAATGAGTGTCTGGAGCTGAAGGTCCGTACCTGTGCTACGATGGACAGGATTCCCACCATCGCAATAAACGCTGCGATCGCTTCTGACGAGAAGTTAATGACCTGAAACATAACGCACAGCTTCTAACGCCAGTCACACTCTATGCGATAAAGATTGGGTCAGCTTCAGTGTAAATAACAGTCGCAAACTCATTAATTATGAAAAGAATTCAATTTCAGCTGCTCTACAGAAAACTAAAGTGTCATTATTCATATCTAGGAAGGTCATGCACTGCAAAAAAAATAAAAAACGTCTTGTTTTTCAGTGTAAATACCTCTGAAATCAAGATGCATTCACTGATAACTGATATTAACTCTTGTTTTCTGAAAATCATCCAAATTAAGTGAGTTTATGCTTAAAACAGGAAGAAAAAAAAATTTGTCAATGGGGTCAGAAAAACAAACTTAATCCAAAGGGAAGAAATTATTTTTTTTTTTTTATTACTAATTTTGATAAATGTTTCAGAAAACAAGACTAAATATCATAAGTCATTTGTGACCCTGGAGCCCCATTTGTTACCCCATCTCAAAATTGAGATGTATGCATCAGCTGAAAGCTGAATAAATCAGCTTTCCATTGATGTATGGTTTGTTAGGATAGCACAATATTTGAAAATCTGGAATCTGAGGGTGCAAAAAAATCTAAATATTGAGAAAATCATCTTTAAAGTTGTTCAAATGAAGTTCTTAGCAATGCATATTACTAATCAAACATTAAGTTTTTATATATTTACGGTAGGAGATTTACTAAATATCTTCATGGAACATGATCTTTACTTAATATCCTAATGATTTTTGGCATAAAAGAAAAATGTATAATTGTGACCCATACAATGTATTGTTGGCTATTGCTACAAATATCCCCCAGCGACTTAACACTGCTTTTGTGCTGCAGGGACATATATTGCGTCTCCAGTATCTTGATTTAAGAATGTTTGGATATTTGTACTGGAAAACAAGACAGAAATATTGAGGAAGAGCATCAGTTTTTGCAAGTTCACATCTGACCCTACATTGATTTCCTGTTAGACTCCCTGTTTTACTCTGACATACAGCACACTGCAGAAGTGAAATGGGTTGTGAGCAGCGTTTCGTAACACGTACCTGTCCTAAATAGAGGAAGAAGCTGGAATACTGTCCGGCCTCGGGCAGATACGACAGGAACACGGTGACACAGATCAGCAGCACTGTGGAGTCTTTACCCACCTTCCTCAGAGACTAACACACACACACACACAAAAAACACTTTCACAACAACTGACAACATCTGCTAATTTTTCTCGTCTATGTTGGATTACTGTGACAATATCTATATGCATGTGGCTAATCATTGGGCCTTCATTACCAAGGTTTTTTATCTTTTAAATATTCCAAAAGGCCACACAAATATGTTATTCATAATTACAAGATAAATGATGCCTTAAAGAGTTGGTCATGTTAAATGAATTTAATTTGTGCTTTGTTACTTTTGATATGAATCTAAATCCCAGCTTTTAAATTCTGTCAGTTTTATCAGGAAATGTAAACAATAAATGTGTTTTTGTGGCTCTTTAATGTGTGGTGTCAGATCCTCTTTACTACTAGTTATAGCAGCAAATAAACACGAATGAACATCAGAAGAATCAGAACAACTCGCTGAAATCAATCATGAATCATGTAATCCATCAATCAGTGATTCAACCGCAGAAAGACGTAAATAAAACAGCTTCTGATCAATAATGTCGCATTTACCTCAGGAAAAACATTAAAAGACCATAAACTTGATAGTTAGCTAGAAAAAAAAGCATTTTGATAAATATATGCACTATATTACATATCCATTATATTTTTAACTAACCTGTTAGTACTCTTTAGTTTAATTGTTTGTATTTCAACAACTAAAACTTCATTTTATCATTTAAAAAAATATATATAAAAACTGCCTTACGTGCAATTTAAGTGTTTTTATACAGCCGAGTGTTGATAATTAAATGCATTTGATTAAAAAGACCATAAACTTGATAGTTAGCTAGAAAAAAAAGCATTTTGATAAATATATGCACTATATTACATATCCATTATATTTTTAACTAACCTGTTAGTACTCTTTAGTTTAATTGTTTGTATTTCAACAACTAAAACTTCATTTTATCATTTAAAAAAATATATATAAAAACTGCCTTACGTGCAATTTAAGTGTTTGTATACAGCCGAGTGTTGATAATTAAATGCATTTGATTAATTAAATGTGAGCCTGCAGCACAAAAGCAGTGTTAAGTCGCTGGGGGATATTTGTAGCAATAGCCAACAATACATTGTATGGGTCACAATTATACATTTCTCTTTTATGCTAAAAATCATTAGGATATTAAGTAAAGATCATGTTCCATGAAGATATTTAGTAAATTTCCTACCGTAAATATATCAAAACTTAATGTTTGATTAGTAACATGCATTGCTAAGAACTTCATTTGAACAACTTTAAAGATGATTTTCTCAATATTTAGATTTTTTTGCACCCTCAGATTCCAGATTTTCAAATATTGTTCTATCCTAACAAACCATACATCAATGGAATGCTATTTATTCAGCTTTCAGCTGATGTATACATCTCAATTTTGAAAAATTGACACTTAAGACTGGTTTTGTGCTCCAGGGTCACAATGGATTATTAAATCAACTTTATTTTCAGTTTTCAGAATAAAAGAATGTTAATTTCAGTGTAAAGCATTAATGTTGGTGCATCACTAGACTAAACTAAAGGTATCCCTCAATAGCTAGCATTCAAAACCATAAAATATGCAACTCACAGCGAAAGGATCCGCCTGCTCCCAGGAGATAGACAAACCCCACGACGACATGCACATTTTGTCCGGCAGGGACTCGGGCACCACCAGCAGAACGAACAGAATATCAGCCACAGCGATGATGGTGGCCAGAAGAACCACCAGACTGTCTCCGTAGCGCAGGGACAGGAACGCTCCTATAGCCGGACTCGTCACTAAACTCGCCGCAAACGTCGCAGAAACCTGAAACCCAAGACCAACAGGACGGTGCAGAGAGACAATACTGTGAGCAGGACGTGATCGCGAGACAAAAGAAGCACACTGATTATGACACCGATCTGCATCATATCCACTGAAGGAAATCCAACACTTGTTTCTTACTCATTTTGGTGCTGCTGATTCCTAAAATAGTGCCTGTTTTGCTGGAGAGACTCACACGTTCTCACTAAATATGATGCATTTCATAGCATTTTTGTTTTTGCAATAATTTGTGTGGTGAATTAGTCTTGTATCCTCCCTTAATCAGCAGAAAAACACCACAAACACACGATTCCTTGTCTGCATCTGAGCCAGATTAGCACCATTTGTGACCCTGGAGCACAAAACTAGTAAATTTTGTGAAATTGAGATTTATGCATGCACGCATGCTTTCCATTGATTGTATGGTTTTTGTTAGGATCGGACAATAATTGAAAATCTGGAATCTGAGGGTGCAAAAAAAATCTAAATACTGAGAAAATCATCTTTAAAGTTGTCCAAATGAAGTTCTTAGCAATGCATATTACTAATCAAACATTAAGTTTTGATATATTTACGGTAGGTGATTTACAAAATATCTTCATGGAACATGATCTTTATTTAATATCCTAATGATTTTTGGCATAAAATAAATATTTTGACCCATACAGTGTATTGTTGGCTATTGCTACAAATATCCCCCAGCGACTTAACACTGCTTTTGTGCTGCAGGGACACATTTGATCAATTCTCAGCCCATTTTCACATGTGTGACACTAGTTCATGCCTGATCCTGATTTCATAGACAGAAGAAAATGCGAACATGATCCTGATGATCAAAGAGCAGCAGAAAATGAAGTGAAGTTATTGGACATTAAAGGGAGCATTTGAACACTCCTTCGCAGATTAAATACATATTTTTATCATTAAAACCAAAAGTTTTTGACATTTGACAGCTTTCATTATATAGTGGATGCATAATTTGAAAAATAAATTTTCATTCTTATTTTTGTGAAAAAAAGGGTACATGACTGAAATTTTTTATTGATTTTTTTTTTAACTCCGCATCATAAAATTGGGTAATATTAGGCCTTTTTTTGCATATAAAACATTACAGAGTAGCTGGAATCATATGAGACCTCTGGATTTATATATTGACATCTGATGGATGATATAAAATACAATTTAATAAATGCAAAGATGGCAGAATTTTAAAGAACATTTTAAATTTTTAACTCAATACAGTTAGCAGATATGTATATATACATATATATGCAAAAACAGAAAATGTATGCTATCCATCACCAATAAACAATCATTTCTATTTTAGGTACAAAATCACAAGGAAAATTTACTTTATAAAAGTGATAAATGTGTCATAGTCCAGTGACAGGTGTTCTTACCAGTCCATACGCTGTGCTTCTTTCATGCTCTTCTGTAATATCAGCCACATACGCAAATATCACAGAAAATGTAACCGAGAAAAGCCCAGACACGGACATTAGAGCAAAGAAACACCTGATGAAGAGAGACAGAAACACACAAACACATCACGTTTATGCTTTAGGTGCGCTGAGTCAATCAAGGTCAAACATTTCACCAACAGAAACACTTACAGGTCCACAGAAACAAAGAGTCGCATCATAAAACCAATGCTTTCCACTTTAAAGTAACAGTTCATCCAAAAATGAAAATGTGCTGAAAACTGCTACTTCCGGCGATACTGCGGGAGTCCACTTCAAAATAAAAGTCTTTTATTGACACGTAAAGCGTAGATCTGAAAACAGCGTGCAACTATTCAGCCCTCGTTCTCGGTGTAGTTGCATTTGGAGGCGGAAAGTGAGATAAAATGCATAACTGAAAAAAAAAAATCGAAGTGTCATATTCGGATCATTTATGAGGACGATTCTCAAGCATTTGATTCTCATTAGCGGCAGTGTTGCCAGGTCCGCGGGCTTCTTTTACACTGTTTCCGCGGGTTGAAGCGACACCAATAACGTGATATTTAGCCCCTGAAATGCAAATTTTACCAGGGGATAAATATTAATTTTGCCTAAAACATGTAATTTGCTTGTGTTTTACCCCCCGGAACGCGTTTTGACAAGTTGTGAGTAGCATTTGGAGATTTTCCCCGGGGAAATCGCCTCGTTTCGGGTCAGTGACACTCGTCTTGCGGACCTGCTGCTGGGAAGGCCGGTGATTCACCTGTTTGAGACGGACGACAGCTCGAAGGATGAGCGGAGAGGGTTGGTGCTCTCCAGGGCTCCCAGCATGCCTGCGTGGTTCTTCATAACTTATGAGAAAGACCCCATGCTGTACATGTACCAGCTGATGCAGGATTATAAAGATGGGGACCTTCGGATACTTCCGGATTCAGGTGAGTGAGTCAGTATACTCTTAAAAATAAAGGTTCTTTATTGGCATCGATGGTTCAGTGAAGAACCTTTAACAGGTTTAACCTTTATAGTGCAAAAACATGCTTTAGTTCTTAAAAGAACCATTTTTTCTTAGTGTGATCACTGAAAGGTTCTTTGGGGAATCAAAAATGATTCTTTATAGTGTGACCAGTGGAGTCTGAATCATGAACAAATGACTCTCTAATGAATCAGTCAAAAAGATTCACAAGGAGTCTCAATCTAATGACTACAGTGTGAACAGTGGAGTCTGACTCATGAACAAATGACTCTCTAACTGATTCCTTGTAAAGAATCAGTCAAAAAGATTCACAAACTGTCTTAAACTCACAATTTGAATCAATCTAATGACTACAGTTTAGAAGTTAAAGAGCTGCATTGTTTCATCAGATGAAAATAAATGCTCAACTGTAAGTTCTCCAGAGGCTCCAGAAGTGTGTTTGCGGAACTGAGAATGTTCGAGACTAAAGGAATCTTCGGCTTTTGTGTGGATGTCAGCTGTGTGCTGCTCGGTAAGACACTCTGGCCTCTGTCTGAGCAGCTGATGGTGCTGTTGATGAAATCTGCGTTATTATTGTTACTGCTTGAGGCGCTTATGGATCTGAATGTTACACTGTCGCGTGCATCGATGAAACATTCATATCCGTTTCAGACGCACATGCATATTCAGTGTTACTCAATATAGGTCACTGCACAATGTGCACATTTACAGTACGTGTTGCAATATAAACTTCCATTATTGCTCAGAAAAACAAGAGTGCGAGCTTGTATCGAGATATAGTTTAGTTTCTTTTATGAGGTGCACAGTTGTAAGTGTTCACAGATAAGTTGTGTTTACATTATATTCATACGGTCCAGCGAACAAAAGTGTTCTGAGAACGTTTCGCAAACGTTGCCATTATGTTACGAAAACGTTATTTTTGAATGTTCTCAGAACGTCCAGTTTTTTTATTAAAAAAATGTATTGGTTATGCGAACGTTTGAGAAAACATTAAGGGAACGTTCCATTTGATCATTTTGGAAACATAAGAACCTTACTTTTGAACGTTCTGGAAAAAAAAAAAGTAATAACGTTAGAAAATGTTGTCCAATTTATCATGGCATTAGAACTAATACACCGTTGTCGCTTGTGAAAACACAAGAACGGTGGGTGTAAACTTACAGATTAAGGGGCGGTGATATTATAATGAGATCCCTTTGCAACGCCACCAAGCGAGTGAAATCAGACGCGCTGGTTTTCTCAGACGCTTGCAGAAAAAGGCTTCCCAAAAGAAAGTTACTGGGTTCATCTTTTTCAGGTTTCCTTGGTTGGTAGATGCACCGGGGACCTGATTATAGCTCTTACAACCTGGAAAAGTCAGATTTCCATGATATGTCACCTTTAACTGCACTGACACTTTCAGATGAGAACATTGGTTCTGTTTTGAGACGGATCACAGCAAGAAACGCTTCTAATAAACCCCATGTCGGTGATATAAACAGGCCTGTGAACCTCCATTTGTGTGGTTTCTCTCTTTGTTGCAGCTGGACTTCCATTTGCGATACTGAATATTCAGCACAAGCCATTCAAAAGAGGCTTTTTTTGCAGCGATGACTCCATCAGGTACCCCTTTAAAGAAGATACCATATCCTACCAGTTACTGATGGGAATAATGATTCCATTCGCACTGTTGATAGTAAGTGTTCGGTTGCTTTCTTAACCAGTACGCTTCTTTTGCCATTAGAGTTGGTCAAAACATCATGCATTTTTTTCCCTCTTCACCACAGATAATCTTCGGTGAGTGTTTTCCCATATATCTGCGGTCCAGAGTTTCTTTGAGTTATGAGTATATAGTGTGTGTGTACAAGGCCGTGGGATCATTCGTGTTTGGAGCGGCGCTGAGCCAGTCTCTGACCGACATCGCCAAATACACCATCGGCCGACTGCGGCCGCACTTTCTGACGGTGTGTAAACCGCACTGGAGCCTCATTGACTGTAAATCCGGTTATATTGAGAACTTCACGTGCACAGGAGATCCGGTCATCATCAATGAAGGCCGGTGAGTGCAAAACAATCCAACGCATGCATTTCTTTACTCGGATGCTGAGGTGCAATATGACCGGCTCTAGCACTTACATTCAGAATGTAACATTTATTACACGTTTGCATTGAACCTGCAAGCACATTGTTTGATTTAGAAAAGAACATGTTCTGGTTGCATCTGATTTGCTAATTATGATGGACAATCTTCTACCGACAGGCTTTCCTTTTATTCTGGCCACTCATCGTTCTCCATGTACTGTATGCTGTTCCTCGCTGTAAGTGTGTTTTTATGAAAATATTTCATCTGTTTCATCAAATTCAAGGCGAGATACTTGGCAAAACCATTGTTTTTTTATGCACTAATGTCACAAACTCCAGGGAAGATGATGATAGGAATAAAACAAGGTTTATTGAATAACTCAAGATAGACAGACAACAATACCAGAGAGCTAAAGGGTGGAAACAAAGTAACAGATACTGGGAAAATGAAGGTAAAATGACAAACACCTGTGCAGATTAAATTAATTACCGGGAAAACTGAACACAGGAAACTTATGAAAACACACTAAAAGTCCATTATAATGAAACTAACTAAACAGATCCGTGACAACTAACATGTCTTTTCAGACTCATGGAAAGAAAACATACAAAGGGCTAATTTTATTGCATTATTTATGTATCTATTTACATCTTTAAAGAGTTTTTTTCTCTTACGAACACCAAACGCTATAGGTTTACTCCTCTCTGTATTCTAAAGGTTTGTTCATATTTAATTCACACTGATTTACTCCTAAAAACATGGTGAAAATGTGCTTGTTTTCTGTCTGGTGACAGTATTTTCTGATTTATACCTTGAGTGATAAAGAGAGAAATCCAAAATCTCCTCTGATTGAACTCTAATATGACAATAAAACTGGAATTTTGAACCTGGCTCTATCCAATTTTCAGTGCTGGAAATTAATTCAAATTGATGCATATTTAATTAGGTAATGCCTCATTTGAATATTAATCAACTGGAGAGGTATAGTGATATCTATTAGGTTACGTTCACCTGTAGTGTCTTGCCTTTATCATATACATTTAGATTTAGATCAACTTGATTAATTAAATTGTCATGGCAGCTCAATACATTCAAAGAACACTTAACATACACATACATATGTTTTCTTTACAGCTGTATCTCCAGTCTAGACTGAAGGCAAGTTGGGCTCGACTGCTTCGGCCGACTCTGCAGTTCTCTTTCCTCGCGGCGTCTCTTTACGTGGGTCTGTCGCGCGTCTCTGATTATAAACACCACTGGAGTGACGTTCTCACTGGACTCGTACAGGGAGCCGCCGTGGCACTGTTTACTGTAAGTGAGGCTGTACGCTCGTTAATAAATGCATGCCATGCTGTAACCAACACACTTCTCTCTCTACGCAGGTGTTCTTCGTATCAGATCTGTTCAGCGCCAAACGCACGTCAGATAAAGATGAGGAGATCTCGCACACGAGTCTTCAGGAGACGTCAGATCCGCCGAATCACTACGGCAGCACAGAGTGAGACAGAACGCACTGTATTATTTGGAAGGAGTCGCAGTGGATTTTTCCCTTTTGCAGTAACATGCAATCCTTCCCACAACTGATTCTCTTCATTTTTATAATATTACTTGGAAAAAGGTCATTTTTCATAATGCACAGCAGTAGGGAAGTATATAATGTCATCACGATAAATACAGCGGCAGTGCAACAATATTCGCTCTGCAGTGGCTGCATATGTATTAGTTATTGTACTGAATGTGGCAGTGTAAAAATTGGTTTCTCTTTCCTTACAGACCTCATGGGGTTAATTATACAACTAAAGGTTCCTACTCAGAGTTTATGCAGTGTCAGTGAATCGTGAAGGGAATGGTCCCTAATGGCCCTTTCGACCCCCTCAAAACACTGGCAACCTTTAACTTCCATGGGACCTTTTCCATTCTTGTCCACTGCATTATAGTAAAAAGAGGTTCTTTAGATTATTAAAATGTTCTTTACATTAAGAAAAGATGGTTCACTGACAAAATAATGGTTCTTTGCAGTGAAAAACCCTCCTGTAACCTTTATTTTTAAGAGTGTATGCATCCCTATCCATCAAACCATCCAACATTTCTATCTGATAATTTTAGTGCAAGTGCACACGTCTTATTTCAGCAAGGTTGTTTTTAAATGTTAAATGAAGACTGTTACAACAAATGGATTGTACACTTGACTGTTAAACACTTTATTTCTGTGGTTTACAGTTGCTTGCTTTTGTGTGTGTGTGTGTGTGTGTGAGAGAGAGAGAGAGAGAGAGAGAGAGAGAGAGAGAGAGAGAGAGAGAGAGAGAGAGAGAGAGAGAGAGAGAGAGAGAGAGAGAGAGAGAGAGAGAGAGAGAGAGAGAGAGAGAGAGAGAGAGAGAGAGAGAGAGAGAGAGAGAGAGAGAGAGAGAGAGAGAGAGAGAGAGAGAGAGAGAGAGAGAGAGAGAGAGAGAGAGAGAGAGAGAGAGAGAGAGAGAGAGAGAGAGAGAGAGAGAGAGAGAGAGAGAGAGAGAGAGAGAGAGAGAGAGAGAGAGAGAGAGAGAGAGAGAGAGAGAGAGAGAGAGAGAGAGAGAGAGAGAGAGAGAGAGAGAGAGAGAGAGAGAGAGAGAGAGAGAGAGAGAGAGAGAGAGAGAGAGAGAGAGAGAGAGAGAGAGAGAGAGAGAGAGAGAGAGAGAGAGAGAGAGAGAGAGAGAGAGAGAGAGAGAGAGAGAGAGAGAGAGAGAGAGAGAGAGAGAGAGAGAGAGAGAGAGAGAGAGAGAGAGAGAGAGAGAGAGAGAGAGAGAGAGAGAGAGAGAGAGAGAGAGAGAGAGAGAGAGAGAGAGAGAGAGAGAGAGAGAGAGAGAGAGAGAGAGAGAGAGAGAGAGAGAGAGAGAGAGAGAGAGAGAGAGAGAGAGAGAGAGAGAGAGAGAGAGAGAGAGAGAGAGAGAGAGAGAGAGAGAGAGAGAGAGAGAGAGAGAGAGAGAGAGAGAGAGAGAGAGAGAGAGAGAGAGAGAGAGAGAGAGAGAGAGAGAGAGAGAGAGAGAGAGAGAGAGAGAGAGAGAGAGAGAGAGAGAGAGAGAGAGAGAGAGAGAGAGAGAGAGAGAGAGAGAGAGAGAGAGAGAGAGAGAGAGAGAGAGAGAGAGAGAGAGAGAGAGAGAGAGAGAGAGAGAGAGAGAGAGAGAGAGAGAGAGAGAGAGAGAGAGAGAGAGAGAGAGAGAGAGAGAGAGAGAGAGAGAGAGAGAGAGAGAGAGAGAGAGAGAGAGAGAGAGAGAGAGAGAGAGAGAGAGAGAGAGAGAGAGAGAGAGAGAGAGAGAGAGAGAGAGAGAGAGAGAGAGAGAGAGAGAGAGAGAGAGAGAGAGAGAGAGAGAGAGAGAGAGAGAGAGAGAGAGAGAGAGAGAGAGAGAGAGAGAGAGAGAGAGAGAGAGAGAGAGAGAGAGAGAGAGAGAGAGAGAGAGAGAGAGAGAGAGAGAGAGAGAGAGAGAGAGAGAGAGAGAGAGAGAGAGAGAGAGAGAGAGAGAGAGAGAGAGAGAGAGAGAGAGAGAGAGAGAGAGAGAGAGAGAGAGAGAGAGAGAGAGAGAGAGAGAGAGAGAGAGAGAGAGAGAGAGAGAGAGAGAGAGAGAGAGAGAGAGAGAGAGAGAGAGAGAGAGAGAGAGAGAGAGAGAGAGAGAGAGAGAGAGAGAGAGAGAGAGAGAGAGAGAGAGAGAGAGAGAGAGAGAGAGAGAGAGAGAGAGAGAGAGAGAGAGAGAGAGAGAGAGAGAGAGAGAGAGAGAGAGAGAGAGAGAGAGAGAGAGAGAGAGAGAGAGAGAGAGAGAGAGAGAGAGAGAGAGAGAGAGAGAGAGAGAGAGAGAGAGAGAGAGAGAGAGAGAGAGAGAGAGAGAGAGAGAGAGAGAGAGAGAGAGAGAGAGAGAGAGAGAGAGAGAGAGAGAGAGAGAGAGAGAGAGAGAGAGAGAGAGAGAGAGAGAGAGAGAGAGAGAGAGAGAGAGAGAGAGAGAGAGAGAGAGAGAGAGAGAGAGAGAGAGAGAGAGAGAGAGAGAGAGAGAGAGAGAGAGAGAGAGAGAGAGAGAGAGAGAGAGAGAGAGAGAGAGAGAGAGAGAGAGAGAGAGAGAGAGAGAGAGAGAGAGAGAGAGAGAGAGAGAGAGAGAGAGAGAGAGAGAGAGAGAGAGAGAGAGAGAGAGAGAGAGAGAGAGAGAGAGAGAGAGAGAGAGAGAGAGAGAGAGAGAGAGAGAGAGAGAGAGAGAGAGAGAGAGAGAGAGAGAGAGAGAGAGAGAGAGAGAGAGAGAGAGAGAGAGAGAGAGAGAGAGAGAGAGAGAGAGAGAGAGAGAGAGAGAGAGAGAGAGAGAGAGAGAGAGAGAGAGAGAGAGAGAGAGAGAGAGAGAGAGAGAGAGAGAGAGAGAGAGAGAGAGAGAGAGAGAGAGAGAGAGAGAGAGAGAGAGAGAGAGAGAGAGAGAGAGAGAGAGAGAGAGAGAGAGAGAGAGAGAGAGAGAGAGAGAGAGAGAGAGAGAGAGAGAGAGAGAGAGAGAGAGAGAGAGAGAGAGAGAGAGAGAGAGAGAGAGAGAGAGAGAGAGAGAGAGAGAGAGAGAGAGAGAGAGAGAGAGAGAGAGAGAGAGAGAGAGAGAGAGAGAGAGAGAGAGAGAGAGAGAGAGAGAGAGAGAGAGAGAGAGTGTGTGTGTGTGTGTGTCAAATTGTCATAAGAAAAAGGAAAGTAGTTGTGGACCAAAATATTCATTGCATTGAATTCAATTAATTTTGTGTATATTTTTTTAATGCAAATTATTTTATTTTTTTAATGAAAATTGACTTCAAAGTGTTACTTTTTTCATTTTTATTGTTATTTTTAATGCAAATGGTAAGACCACAAGCTGTAAATGTCCAAGCACTTGAATAATCATTTTTTTGCCTTTAATAGCTTTATGTAACTTTGTATGAATTTTTAATTTGCTGCTTTATTTTTAATTCATTGGCAGCTGTGCTAGTGTGAACCAATGAACCAAAATTAAAGCTCCGCCAGACCAACTGTGGTGTAGTTATTGATATTTAAATAATCATCATAATCATTTTGTTCTCAGTGGTGCCTCTAGTGGTCAGATTATGTCTTCTGGTTTCAAGCTTTGGTCAGTTTGATTCATTCGGTTCGCTCGGACGGACCCCTTACAGGTACAAATGCTTTGCGAATCGGTTCGATCGAATCACAAAGAAGAATCGATTCAACAGAGCGAGTCGAACGCCGCCGCCGCTGTTCTTTGTCCTCGCGGTGACTGCATGTGATCCCGCTGAATGTACATTATTTATTCCTCCGTTTACAGTCTGTATTCATCAACCAGAAGATCTGAAGGATGGTGTTAGTTCATGTCGGATATTTGGTTCTTCCTGTCTTTGGCTCAGTGAGAAATAGAGGTATTTATAACGCATTATTTCACGATCAGATCACATCTAAGGGCCTTCTGCGTGTTTAATGCATGCTTATTAAACCCCACGACTGCTCTATATGCTGCTGTAGATCCTAACTGAGTAGATGCTCAATAAAAACCAGGCTATTTTGTTTTTATTTAAGCGAATTGGTGAGGTTTGATTCACTTTAAAAAAAAAAAAATGCATTTAAAATAAATTAATTTGCTTATGCATTCGGATTATCTGATAGATTGTCGATTCGTTTTATCGTGTATTTGAGCGCTGTATGTGTTTGTTGAGGTTTATTTGTGAGGTTTGGTTTAACCTTAGAAAGCTAAAGATGCTAACTCAGGCCTGAGCTCAGTGGACAACAAATAAAACATAAAAATACATACTTTCAGGAGTCTTTTATTGCTAATTTGTATCAAAATTAAGAATGACACTACCTGCATTTCATCAAACAAAAGCTGATGTGTCTAAAAGCATTATTGTTGAGCGTGTTGTCTAAAGAGAAAAAACAACACACTGACTTTACCTCCATCACTTGATTTCATGAAGCTTTTTTTATTTATTTCTGATCTCCTGTCTCATGGTTTGATTTCATGTGCATTATTTCTGTTCTTATCTCCTGTCTCGTAGTCTGTGGAGGCTGAAATCTACATTCTGCATTATCAGATCACTGTGTTTTAATGATCATCTGTGTTCTGATCCCTCCTCATTTCCTCTTTCCATCAGAAGACGACAAACATCTCAGATCTGCTCCCTTCCCGAGAACAAACACGCACTAAAACCAGAGCCTAACACGTTTAGAGCATAAACTACTGTGTGTGTGTCACGTGCTGTAGTTTAACCCACATCCGTGGCTCTAGAAGAGTGACTGGTGTGTGTCCCATCCAGCTTTGGTAGTCAACATGTTTGTAAATTCCTGTAAAATGGATGCATTTGGATGCAGAACCTTCAGCTGGTCACATGCATAACGTGCGCTCCATTCATCGCGCTTCTGATTTCTTCAGAACACTTACACGATCATTCAGGAAAGCCACCCAAATGCGTAACACGCCAACTAGCTGACGATTGGCTCCAATTGCATCCCAAATCCATCCATTTGGCAGGGATGTTGATTTCCTGCACTGCTACTCGAGATCCTCTATTAGAGCAATGCAAATGTCTATTGTTTGGTTGTGGTCTCTCTACCTTTTGTTCTGGTTCTAGACTTCAGTGCATGAATCACATTATTTAGATTCTACATCGAATAGACTCCAATGTAATCTTTCTGTACTGTAACGTGCTGTAGCCAATGCATCTGCTCATTGGATGTTGCTTTTGTTCTGTTAACCCTGTACTGAGCATGGTGGGCCTTGCTATTGATCAATGTTGTTTTATTTGTTGCATGGACTTATTATCATTATGACACAAATCCACATATACTAATATTTCTCAATAAAGAATATAGTATTTTTCCTAACCTCCAGTGTGCTTCTTGCTGATTTCCATTTATTGTCCCCCCCTCCACCTCCTCCCTCTGCTGTGACTTTATTTTTTTACCATGATACCTCAATGAGTTGATCTGTGGTCATTTACGCTCATCACCGAGGCACTTAAAGGTGCAGTGTGCGTTCACGATAACCGTAGACGTCCACAAGTGAAAATTAGATCAGTTTCTGATCACGGTCTTAACGCTGCACCTTTAAGTCTTCTCGCTGTAAATGATCCGGATGCAATGCAAACGTGGCCTTTCTCTGTGGCGTGTCCACACATTTCATCTTTTCTCACTAACACACAGCGAGCGATGGGCACGTCCCATTTCTCTGTGTGACTTTGACACATTATACATGATTTCGTCTGGTGATCGAGGCTTAAGTATTTTTCGATTCCTTCATTCTGAAGTCTGTGTGTATCTGCCAGCAGAAAGTAGAGTGGAGAGATGGGTAATTCTGCTTTTCTGTGTCATTTTCTTCCATTTCTACTGACGTTTTCTTTCTCATAAATGAATAGTGAAGTGTTCTCAAACCCATAAAGTGGTGCATTGATTCATTTCCTCATTCATTTGTCGTCTTGCAAGTACACTCTTAAAAATAAAGGTGCTTCACGATGCCATAGAAGAACCTTTTTGTCTAAATGGTTCCATAAAGAACCTTTAACATCTGAAGAACCTTTCTGTTTGACTAAAGGTTCTTTGTGGTGAAAAAAGGTTCTTCAGATTACAAAAAAGTAAGAAAGAGATGGTTCTTTAAAGAACCTTTGACTGAATGCTTCTTTGTGGAACCAAAAATGGTTCTTCTGTGGCATCGCTGTGAACCTTTATTTTTAAGAGTGTAGCCTGCAGATACCTACATCACAACACGACAAACTCGGTCTCAATCCATGTTTCAAACATTCACCTGTCTTTTGTTATTAATCCAGGGAAATATAAGTAGTGCTTCTGAATGAAGGACATTTAACTATGTAGCCTGTTTAATATAAAATTAGTCTTTTGCAATAGAAGTTACGTTCATTCCAGAAATGCCAGGACTTTTTATGGAGTGTAATTGTTGCTCTATACATTAATGTTCACATGTCAGCTTACAATAAAGCATGCTAACTGCATGTCTTGCCCCTGCACCAGCAAAAGCCTTGGGTTCCTGTGATGTCTGCTGCTTCTGATGTCGTTTTGCTTCTATGAAGGTTTAGACTTGAAGGGATAATCATTCCACTTGGATAAATCACAGTAAACATGTTCCTAAGGATGAAGAGTCAGTCCTAGAAAAACATTCCTATCAACCAATCAGATTTCTAACCCTCAGTCGTTTCAGGAGTGGGCGTTGGATGAAGTTTGGACCATGATTGTTGTTCCAGAACCAACAGAAGATGTTGATTCAGGAAGATGTCATACTTTGAGATGTCATTGGCTTTGGGATTTTGTTTTGCCAGCACATGGATATTGCTTTGGAAAATAGTTCCCACACACGTATCCAAAGTCCTGTCTTTAGAAATTCGCAAATCCCTTCATTGATAAGTTGTGACGGGCTAACAACTCGCATAAAAATACAGCAGCTTTGGTCTAAATCCAGACCTTTACTGCTCGCTCAGACATTTGGCTGAGAACCTAATGCAGCTGTGGATTCCTTCAGCTTTCCAGGAACGCATCTCGCAGTCTGCTTTCGGTAGTTGCTAAATAACTGTAGAGCGTTCACATCTGCTGTGCCGAGGTGAGGAGACACTTCTGTTCACACAGCTGTAGAATACGGTTGATATATGCATGATAATTTCCCCAACCAGTTAAACACAGCCAATTTCATTGGACACCTCAATCACAAAGTAGCCTGTCAAGAAAAGTTCAGACTTCAGAAAAGTCACTGATGGATCTGATCACGACAAACAGTCATGTTATCCATCAGGATGTTCTACCAACGCTAACTTTAGGTCTATATGCGTTTTAGCGCTTCGTAACATTACCGGTGTAATCTTTTATCTTTAGGTTTGTGCTTTATTGGTTTGGGAACCAGTTGGAAACCAAGAACCGAATTCTACAATGAAAAGTTCAGTGACCTGTTGCATAAACATTTTAGACTAGTCTTACTTTTCTCCAATATCTTTTTTAGATCAGTTACTTACGCCTGATGAAGGTCATAGGACTGAAACATTGTGAATAAATCTATTTCTGATACGTTTGCGAGTATGGATGGTGTGTGGGATTTATTTGTTTTTGCTTGGATCAGTTACTTAAAAAGGTAGACTTGTCTAATTCGAACCCGAAATATAAAACTTAGCTTGGCTAAGTGCTAGTTGGTAAGACTAGTTAAGACAAGTGTTTATGCATCTGGCCACATGACTCATAACCAGTTGATATATGCCATGTGAACTAGACTTGTGCATCATGCTATTGGAAATATGACTATTTAAGATGAAAAAATAGAGGTATTGTGTTGTAGAGTAATAAAGTGTTTGGATAGAAGAAATATAAACTAAATTGGACAAAACTGAACCACAAAATGTGAGAGGATAAACTAGTTGCAAGTCTGACTTCAGTTACCTGTTCATACTCGGTCTTATATATCCGATAGTAAATTCGATTCCCAATCCTAAACACTAACTCTGTGAATATAGCGTCCCAAACCAAAAGATTAACGCAAACACGCTGTTCACACACAATTCACTCCCCTTCACTCTTCATTTGCCATCACACCCCACTGCTGGTGATTGATTGATTTCTTCTGGAAGTTCAGGAGAGGACGACGGCCGGCCTCAAGCAGCGGTTTAATCTCATTTATAATTCGCTATGATGTCATTGTTGTTGCAGGATCTCACTTTAACAGGCATCAGCACAATCATGCTACCTCTTGCCGGCATTTCCACGTAGGCCCCCAGGCCCAGATCCCTGTTGATTTCCCAATGCCCCATCCAGGACAATCTCAGACAGGAATGAGCCATCACCACGGCCCCTCGCACCAGCCAGCCGCGGCATTACATCCACCCCTCAACCACATACCAGCACCACCGTTCCAGGACATCCCGGCCCCACCCTTCCTACCTCAGGCTTTACACCAGCAATACCTCATCCAGCAGCAGATCCTGGAGGCCCAGCACAGGAGGATACTTCCACAGTCCAGGTATGACGCCGTGTTAAACTCATAATCAATTAGGACAATAAATCGATGAATCGCAAATCGAGAAATGATTCTGCATCGATTCTGAGATCCGCGATTCTCTCTTGAATCGATTCTGAGCTTAGTTTTTAACAGCAGATGGCACTGCGTGCTTTAGAAATAGCTGTATTCTGCTTGCTTCCAGTTCCTTACACACGCACCACTTGAACCTAAAATAATCATTCATAAAGTTCGAAAAGGTTGAAGCGAATTGCAAGGATGTTCACAGTGGGCTGTGTTTACATTAATCTTGCATCATAAAAGCTGATGTGCAAGTACATTTAACCACTTACATTACTTCTTCGTGAGCATTTGAGTGTGCGGTTAAAAACTAGCCTAGAGCGCCATCTGCTGTTTAAAACTAAGCCCAGAATCGATTCGAGAGAGAATCATGATGCGTTCCAAAAATCTCAGAATCGATCCACGAATCGCGATGCATCGATTTATTGTCCCAGCCCTATAATCAAGACACTTCTGTTCACACAGCTGTAGAATACGGTTGATATATGCATGATAATTTCCCCAACCAGTTAAACACAGCCAATTTCATTGGACACCTCAATCACAAAGTAGCCTGTCAAGAAAAGTTCAGACTTCAGAAAAGTCACTGATGGATCTGATCACGACAAACAGTCATGTTATCCATCAGGATGTTCTACCAACGCTAACTTTAGGTCTATATGCGTTTTAGCGCTTCGTAACATTACCGGTGTAATCTTTTATCTTTAGGTTTGTGCTTTATTGGTTTGGGAACCAGTTGGAAACCAAGAACCGAATTCTACAATGAAAAGTTCAGTGACCTGTTGCATAAACATTTTAGACTAGTCTTACTTTTCTCCAATATCTTTTTTAGATCAGTTACTTACGCCTGATGAAGGTCATAGGACTGAAACATTGTGAATAAATCTATTTCTGATACGTTTGCGAGTATGGATGGTGTGTGGGATTTATTTGTTTTTGCTTGGATCAGTTACTTAAAAAGGTAGACTTGTCTAATTCGAACCCGAAATATAAAACTTAGCTTGGCTAAGTGCTAGTTGGTAAGACTAGTTAAGACAAGTGTTTATGCATCTGGCCACATGACTCATAACCAGTTGATATATGCCATGTGAACTAGACTTGTGCATCATGCTATTGGAAATATGACTATTTAAGATGAAAAAATAGAGGTATTGTGTTGTAGAGTAATAAAGTGTTTGGATAGAAGAAATATAAACTAAATTGGACAAAACTGAACCACAAAATGTGAGAGGATAAACTAGTTGCAAGTCTGACTTCAGTTACCTGTTCATACTCGGTCTTATATATCCGATAGTAAATTCGATTCCCAATCCTAAACACTAACTCTGTGAATATAGCGTCCCAAACCAAAAGATTAACGCAAACACGCTGTTCACACACAATTCACTCCCCTTCACTCTTCATTTGCCATCACACCCCACTGCTGGTGATTGATTGATTTCTTCTGGAAGTTCAGGAGAGGACGACGGCCGGCCTCAAGCAATCTCATTTACTCATTTATAATTCGCTATGATGTCATTGTTGTTGCAGGATCTCACTTTAACAGGCATCAGCACAATCATTTGCCGGCATGCCGGCATTTCCACGTAGGCCCCCAGGCCCAGATCCCTGTTGATTTCCCAATGCCCCATCCAGGACAATCTCAGACAGGAATGAGCCATCACCACGGCCCCTCGCACCAGCCAGCCGCGGCATTACATCCACCCCTCAACCACATACCAGCACCACCGTTCCAGGACATCCCGGCCCCACCCTTCCTACCTCAGGCTTTACACCAGCAATACCTCATCCAGCAGCAGATCCTGGAGGCCCAGCACAGGAGGATACTTCCACAGTCCAGGTATGACGCCGTGTTAAACTCATAATCAATTAGGACAATAAATCGATGAATCGCAAATCGAGAAATGATTCTGCATCGATTCTGAGATCCGCGATTCTCTCTTGAATCGATTCTGAGCTTAGTTTTTAACAGCAGATGGCACTGCGTGCTTTAGAAATAGCTGTATTCTGCTTGCTTCCAGTTCCTTACACACGCACCACTTGAACCTAAAATAATCATTCATAAAGTTCGAAAAGGTTGAAGCGAATTGCAAGGATGTTCACAGTGGGCTGTGTTTACATTAATCTTGCATCATAAAAGCTGATGTGCAAGTACATTTAACCACTTACATTACTTCTTCGTGAGCATTTGAGTGTGCGGTTAAAAACTAGCCTAGAGCGCCATCTGCTGTTTAAAACTAAGCCCAGAATCGATTCGAGAGAGAATCATGATGCGTTCCAAAAATCTCAGAATCGATCCACGAATCGCGATGCATCGATTTATTGTCCCAGCCCTATAATCAACCATATTTCACGAGTTCACCTGCCCATCCAGTCTGAATAGTTAATGGTAAATAAACTTGGCTTGCTGTCCTCGAAGGAGGCTCATTTCATTTATTTTATTTTATTTATAAAGCACAATAAAACAACAATGGTTGACCATTGTGCTGAACAATATAGTTTAAAAGGAATCAAAATGCATAAAATGGTAAGACATGACAAGCAAATAATAATTTGAAATAATAAACTCCTGTTGGCTCATACACTAAAAGCATTCTCATAGAGGTAGGCTTTAAGCCTTGTTTTAAAAAGGGATTCTCTTGCAATTGTTCTAATAGAGATTGGAAGGCTGTTCCACAATTTAGGGCCGGCTATGGCAAAACCCGGTCACCTTTTCTCTTCAGCCTAGATCTAGGAACCAATAAAAGTTTCTGATTCGATGACATCTAGCTGGACTGTGTAAACTCAAAAGGTCAGAAAGATATGAAGGTGCCAGTCCATTTAAAACCTTAAAAACAAAAAGTAACATTTTAAACTATTTTAAAATGGACTGACAGCCAATGCAAAGAGAGTAGGTCAGGGGTAATATGTTCATATTTGCGAGTGCCAGTCAAAAGTCTAGCAGCTGCATTTTGTACTGTTTGTAGGCGATTCATACATGATTGGTTAATACCAATATACATTGAATTGCAGTAGTCTAGTTGAGATTAGATAAAAGCATGTTGAACCTAAAATAATCATTCATAAAGTTCGAAAAGGTTGAAGCGAATTGCAAGGATGTTCACAGTGGGCTGTGTTTACATTAATCTTGCATCATAAAAGCTGATGTGCAAGTACATTTAACCACTTACATTACTTCTTCGTGAGCATTTGAGTGTGCGGTTAAAAACTAGCCTAGAGCGCCATCTGCTGTTTAAAACTAAGCCCAGAATCGATTCGAGAGAGAATCATGATGCGTTCCAAAAATCTCAGAATCGATCCACGAATCGCGATGCATCGATTTATTGTCCCAGCCCTATAATCAACCATATTTCACGAGTTCACCTGCCCATCCAGTCTGAATAGTTAATGGTAAATAAACTTGGCTTGCTGTCCTCGAAGGAGGCTCATTTCATTTATTTTATTTTATTTATAAAGCACAATAAAACAACAATGGTTGACCATTGTGCTGAACAATATAGTTTAAAAGGAATCAAAATGCATAAAATGGTAAGACATGACAAGCAAATAATAATTTGAAATAATAAACTCCTGTTGGCTCATACACTAAAAGCATTCTCATAGAGGTAGGCTTTAAGCCTTGTTTTAAAAAGGGATTCTCTTGCAATTGTTCTAATAGAGATTGGAAGGCTGTTCCACAATTTAGGGCCGGCTATGGCAAAACCCGGTCACCTTTTCTCTTCAGCCTAGATCTAGGAACCAATAAAAGTTTCTGATTCGATGACATCTAGCTGGACTGTGTAAACTCAAAAGGTCAGAAAGATATGAAGGTGCCAGTCCATTTAAAACCTTAAAAACAAAAAGTAACATTTTAAACTATTTTAAAATGGACTGACAGCCAATGCAAAGAGAGTAGGTCAGGGGTAATATGTTCATATTTGCGAGTGCCAGTCAAAAGTCTAGCAGCTGCATTTTGTACTGTTTGTAGGCGATTCATACATGATTGGTTAATACCAATATACATTGAATTGCAGTAGTCTAGTTGAGATTAGATAAAAGCATGCATAGCCCTCTCGAACTCAGCACAAGTTAAAAAACCCTTCACCTTAGCAAGGAGTCTGAGCTGAAAAAAACTTGATTTAACAACTGCGTTTACTTGCTTATCAAAAGTCCAAGCAGAATCAAACACAACACCCACATTTTTTACAGAGGGCTTGACATATGCAGCCAGATCACCCAGCACTTGCTGTATGTTGCCAGATACAGCTAAAGAACCGAACACAATTGCCTCTGTCTTACTCTCATTGAGATAAAAAAAATTAAAGAGACATCCAAGCCTTAATATCAGACAGACAAGCAGTTAAAGCACTCAAACTCTGGTTGTCATTTTGCTTAAAAGGCACATAAATTTGCGTGTCGTCAGCATAACAATGAAACGACACTTTGTGCTTATTAAAAATGGAACCCAACGGGAGCATATACAAAGAAAATAAAATTGGAGCAAGGATCGAACCTTGAGGAACTCCAAAAGTCAACACTGATTTAGAGGATGAGCACCCATCCACACAAACTGATAAAGTTCTATTTTTCAAATAAGATTTGAAACATTTTAGGACAGAACCATTAATACCCACACAGTGTAATAAGAATACTGCGGTCTACAGTGTCAAATGCTGCACTCGAATGGAGGCTTGGCTCGAGCTCCGAATTCATCCGAGAATGACAGAAAAAGAGGTGGAGATGGGGAGGTGGAGGGATGCCGGAAAAATTGCTCATATGCTCATAATGATGATTGACAAGACTCAGATGATCAGGTTCCTCACAAACTTACATTTGGAACCTTATTTATGTTCTTAAGGCAAGATACTACAGGCACTGGTTTTGAGAATTTGGGTTATTTGGCTTTTCATAATATATCGTTTCAGACTAGTGGAAAGAAAGCATCCAAAATACACGTTTAAGTGTTCATTTTATTGCACACTTCAACGGCTTTTTAAATTTTTTTTTACATAGACCCAATTTTACAGTTTTATTCTTATCCAGTGTTGCCAGGTCCGCGGTTTTCCCACGCAATCGGGCTACTTTAACACTGTTGCCGTGGGTTGAAGCAATACCAATAACGTGATATTTAGCCCCTTGAATGCGAACTTTACCAGGGGAACACTACTAAAAACATGTATTTAGTTTTTGCGAACTCGGACAAACAAACGGAGTTGCTAACTGTCAAACAATGACACCTGTCAGTGTGAAAACCTTGTCCCTATATCTTTTTGATACATTTTGGACACAGAAGGACCACCATTTAAGTGGGACTTAAATATTCCATGGAGAGATATATAAAAGATTTTAAAATAAATATTGTGGGTATTAATCTGGAAGCGAGGGTTTACAGATCACAATGCAAACGGGAGGAACCTCAGGTTAAATTTGTCACGATCGCAGATAACAACATCCCGGATCAACACTGTTCATGTATCGCAGGGTACGATTAGATTAATTTACATTTGACCAGTTTAATATGAAGCGACAGTGAAATGTAGACCTTCGTTTATGTGTTTTTGCCCGACACTGTACAAGACGCGAGAACAGTCCGCTATTTAGGTTTGTATGGACTCACTAACTTTAACGTTAGCTAGTTGTAGCCAGAGATACCAAGCACAAGATGACATTAACGTTCTGCTTGAGCAGATGAAAATTGTAACTTAATGAGAGTATGACAACCAGAAAACTAACGTTTTTGTCTTCATTGGGATTGGAGGTGTAGCGAATCAGCTCATGGGGAAATATGAATAATTAACCATAACTAATTATGATTAATTATTAATATTTTAGATCCACTGTAGATATTTAGCTGACCACTCAGGGTCAACTGTCTTGTCAATTCTAAGAACGTTAATTTCCTGGTTAAGGGAAATAACTTTCTTACTGTACAATTCTATAAGTTTGTAACGTAAATCTGCATGATTATTGACTCCGGTTATGAGTAAACACTGAACACGTCAAGTGTGATACAAGTAAGGTTTTATTAACTACATAAACACTTAAACTAGTCTAACATACCACATAAACACATTAAGCCGGTCTAACATACACATACACACACACACACACACATACAGTTGGTATAGAAAAGGGTTAAAGTTTAACTCAGCATAGAAAGAGGCATAAAGAATGAATTTTATGAAACACTTTGCATATTCAACAGATCTAAAACCTGAGGGAAAACGTCAAATTCTTAGTTCAAACAAACCTTGTAAAAAGGTGTAACTGATACTTAATGCATCAATTAAATCGACTAAGTTTGATACTTGCGTATGTCTGAAAAAGATTCCTGATGCAATCTTAAGGCCCCAAGATCTTGCTGAAGTTGGTTGATGAAAAAGAGCTAGTTTGAGTCAGAATCACTTGATGAATGAAAAGGACTAGGCCGGAGCCTGGCACGAGCTTTGGTATCCTGGAGCGTTTCTCACATCTTCATCTTAGCATCTCACTGAACCACCGAACAGGGCGGGTCACATGGAGTGTGGCCTTTTAAAGCCTGCAGAGATTCACGATTTTATGGAACTCTTTGCATGTATATTCAACAGATCAAAGCCTTCAGGGATACGTCAGATTCTGAGTTCAAACACACCTTTGTAAAAAGGTGTAACTGATACTTAATGTATCAATTAATAAGACTAAGTTTGATACTTAGCGAGTCTCGGCGGTCTGAAAGAGATTCCTGATGCAAATCTTAAAGCTTCCCGTAGATCTTTGCTGAATTCGGGTCGATGAGAAGAACCAGTTTGAGTCAGTGTTACTTGATGAATGGAAAGGACTAGGCCGAAGAGAGGCCTGGCACAGATGCTTTGGTATCCTGAAGCGTTTTTCTCACGTCTTCATCTTTGCTTCTGACTGAACCACCGACAGGGGCGGGTCACATGGAGTGTGGCCTTTAAAGCCTGCAGAGATTCACGCCTCTCAAGATGGGCTTGCCCAATGGGGAAGTCCGGAATCTCAAGTGGGAGTTCTGCGTTTTTATGGCCCTTTGTCTGTAAGCCTGGTATTTTGCATATGTAATTCGCTGGAGTGTTGAGGCACGAATTAGTACAGATTCTTAGAACATCAATATGTTGCATAGGTATCAGCATATAATATACACACTTGTTTCGATCATAAGAAGGCGAATTCATAGATACTAGACATGAGATAGGTGAGGTTATATTGACTAGTGGTCTATGATAACATGAATAAAACAGCATACACTACAACAGACAATATACAAGACAGTAATGGTATACACAATGACCAAAGGATATGGGTATTCAATCAAAGAAAGGTTTTCCTATGAATTAATTAGAGAACAGTCCATTTCTCTGGGCATTGTGTGTCTTTCTCATGAGTAAAATGAGGGAGTTTCTCCCCTGCATTCCTTTTAGGCCATAAAACCAGTGATATCATGATTAGTTGTCATGGTGATCAAGGTGGGGGATGGTGTTCAAGCGAAGCCCTGGCATCCAGTCTATTGAATGAGGGGACTGTGACGATTTGTTAATCTAATGAATAATTGATTTGTTAAATCAAATAAAAATTAGTGTGTCAGATTGGTCGAGACGCTACAGAGGTGAATGCTTTGGGACATTTTGCTCCATTTTGTTCGGGTTTAGGAAATAGAATAAAATAAATTCCATTGCATATCCTCTCAGGATACCTGGAACCACTGTTACAAGTTCCTCAAGCACATCGTTTTTCCATTTTTGAAGCATAAACCCCATAAAAACGATGCAAGCTTCGGATCTTCCAATGTTTCTCTATGCCGCTGAAACCTACAGATGTCCGAGTTCTGCTCCCTGTGCAACTGATACTCGACTGCCATTGGCTTATCTGCGTTCGAGGGGAGGGGCTTACCGATAGGTCAATTCTTAATTAAATCAACCAACTGGGGAAATATGGTGATACTGTTAGTTACATTCTTAACCCTATTCACCTGTAGAGTCTTGCCTTAATTCCTCTTCCATGTCTTATTGAGACATCTCATAATCCAGCAATCAAAACTGGTAAAATATTTGTTTTCTGGTATATTTTATAATCAGGTTTATCCAGCTGAATCAAGCTCTAACCATTTTCCCAGCAGACATGCTCCAGACCGAACCCTTCCCCATCCGCAGACGCTGCGGCCGCCATATGAATACCCGCCATCCATTCATATTCCCCCACCGCCGCCGGTGCCGCAGCAGCCACGTTACCTTGCCGAAGGAACAGATTGGTACATATGTATTCAGTGACTTCATAAACTAGTACTCTGTTTGGCTTTGATTGACTGACGCCATTCCTGTGTTCGCATCCAGGGATCTGAGTGTGGATCCAAGCCTGCCGCAGTACCACGTCTCTCCCCTCACTCAACATTATCAGCATTACCTGACCTCTCCACGACTGCATCACTTCCCCAGGAACACCACCTCGGCACAAGTGGTCAGTCTGAGTCTTTCGTACCCACTGCAAGCCTTCATATTTACATTCATGCACGTGACAGATCCTTAATCCAAAGTAACTGACCAGTTCTTGCCTTCCATTGGTGTTGCCAGTGCCACTTATCTCTTTATTTACTTCTTCATTGGTGCTGTCATGCACAGGTTGTCCATGAGATCAGAAACTACCCTTATCCTCAGTTACATCTGCTGGCTCTCCAAAGCCTCAGTCCGTCTCGCCATGCGTCTGCTGTGCGGGAGAGTTACGAGGTACCGTCACACTTGGTGTTCTTTATCACACATCTTCTTAATCATACATGTAATGTGACGTGTTTACATGCGGTTTTGATTCCAGGAGCTCCTGCAGTTGGAGGACAGACTGGGCAATGTGAACCGAGGGGCTGTGCAGACCACCATCGAGAGGTTTACCTTTCCTCATAAGTATAAAAAGGTAAAACCACAACCACAATTACTGGTCAAGACTGTAATGCGTCAACATTTGTTACATCCTTCAATAATTATATTCCTTATCCTCCTGTTGTGCTGGGGTTAATTACTTGAAACTACTTCTTGGAATTTTGTGAGCTTTTCCTCAATGATCATACATTTTCTTTTTGGTCATGCGTTTTTGCATGAAGATTCAACATTTAGTTGTGCTTTGGAAAGGCTGTACAGATTTTGGTTACATTGATGTGTGTTGAGTCAAACTGAGCCTCAATGGGTTTCCATGCAATTCACCAAAAACCAAGACTTTAAACAAACCTACACCATTTTAAATATGGATTAAATATATGGGTATGATGTGGGTTTTAAGGTGAAGGTTGCTGGAGAATTACTGGACCTTTTATTAATTCCTTGTTGAACCTGTAATTTATGAAGTGTAAGTTTCTTTTGGATTAAAAAGCATGTGCTAAAAGCCTAATAGCTAATCATGTGATTCGTAGAGAAGACCTCTAGAGCTGAAGATTGGCATGGATGAAGAGGAGCTCGACACGGATGAGAAATGCACAATATGCCTCTCGATGCTTGAAGACAGAGAGGACGTCAGGTAGTTTGACGCTCTACTCAAAACCCGTTCAATGGTGAAAATGGTGCCGGTTAACATTCAAGAAATGTTTTGTTTTTCTCTCCCCAGGAGATTACCCTGCATGCACCTCTTCCATCAGGCTTGTGTTGACCAGTGGCTGGCAACCAATAAGAAGTGTCCCATCTGCAGAGTAGACATCGAGACGCAGTTGTCCCCCGATAGCTGATGTCTCATGTAGCACTAGCTAAAAATCCTGTCATCTTTCTTAGTCCCCTCGTGGGCACTTTGCCAAATGTGTGTCATCTCCATCACCTCTCACCTCTGACCTTTGCCTTCTGAGCCAACTGACGATGTAGAATGGGGAAGACGAAAAGCGCTGAAGACAGAGTCCAGCACATGGAGAAGAACGAGTCTGTCGATGAAGATGGTTTCAGTCAAAGTGCTGTGAATGTGTGTGTGTGAGCGCGTTTGGGATGGTGAACACTGCTCGTAATGTCTCAGAATGATTTCGGATGAAGACCGACCAAATGTTCTCAGTGTTCAGTAGGTCACATGGATGAAGCATTACAGCATGAGCACCACAAAGTCCAACATATTACACGTGGTTGGTCATGAATTAATCATTTGTGACCCTGGAGCACAAAAGCAGTGTTAAGTCGCTGGGGGATATTTGTAGCAATAGCCAACAATACATTGTATGGGTCAAAATTATTGATTTTTCTTTTATGCCAAAAATCATTAGGATATTAAGTAAAGATCATGTTCCATGAAGATATTTTGTAAATTTCCTGCCATAAATATATCAACACTTAATTTTTGATTAGTAGTATGCATTGCAAAGAACTTCATTTGGACAACTTTAAAGATGATTTTCTCAATATTTAGATTTTTTTGCACCCTCAGATTCCAGATTTTCAAATAGTTGTATCTCAGCCAAATATTGTTCTATCATAACAAACCACACATCAATGGAAAGATTATTTATTCAGCTTTCAGATGATGTATAACTCTCAATTTCGAAAAATTGATCTTTATGACTGGTTTTGTGGTCCAGGGTCACAAAAAAAAGTGTTAAAAAAAACAATTAGCGAATGAGAAGCGCGCAAGAGTAGAATAATAACCCTGTGTTTAAAAAAGCTCTGTCGTTGTGTCTGTGATTATCGGAGGTGATGCTCGACGTCTGTATGTAACCGCAAGGCCAGGCTTGATATGAACTGTGACAGTCTGCATTCTGTGCTCGTGATGCCTCCGACGCTTAGAAACGTATCACCACCAAATGCATGTTGAAGCGAGAGGCCGGGGTTCTTCTGACGAGAGGTCGACGTGCATGAGGATGTTTCCTGCGTGATACTCTACTAATCCTGAAGACACTGTGTTCTCGATGCGTCTCCGAAGTCACCACGAGTGAAATATGTACCTTAATGCCTGTAGCACAAGCACACGTTGAATAGTAACGGCATAACTCTGTGTTTCCATTCGCCCTGTGACTCGTGGTCTCGCTTGGTCGTTCAGCAGCATCTGTAGAGTCATAATGTGCATGAAACCTGTTTGCTGCCATTTCTAGAGGACATGACAAGGGAGTAAAGCCATTTGTTTTATAGAAACCAAACATAACTTTTCTAAGCTGTTCTTCATGATCACTCTTCCTCGTTTGATTTCTCCTTTTTCCTACTGTTGCCAACCTGTGTGCGGGGCTGGTACAGCTTCTCCACATAAGTAGCTGCAATGCTGGAAAAAAACAAACAAGCTATTTATTGTCGTCTTAATGTAGTTAGTGGTTATTTTTGTAAAAGCACTCACTTTCTGATGGGCTCGTGTGATTGTCTCTCTTTCCCTGCGTTTGCATTTGCACTCAGTTTCCTTGTGTATCGTGCACTCCATCCCAAAAAAAAGAAACAAAACAAAAAAAAACAAGGGAACAGACTTTTTAACAGCACAGTTTCTTTGCGTAATGATAGTTGTTGCCTCACTGACCACTTTCAATGTATGTGACTATTTATCCGTAGCATTTCAGATGTCTTTGTAGTACGTTTGACGAAATAACCTGCTTGTCTTTGCTGTCGCAACTTTTCCAGAATTCAAGCGTTCAGCTGCTTGGAAGCCAGGAAGTTGAAAGCGTTTACTTGTTCCAATCACCGTTTTGTAGCGTGTCAGTGAGCGTATGGAAGCCTGTTTCCACCGCTGAATAAAAAATAAAAAAGTGTATTGCGACTTTTTATCTCACAATTCTGATTTTTTTCTTGCAATTGCAAGTTTGTATCTCGCAATTCTTGACTTTTTTCCTCATTATTGCGAGTTTTTATGTCGCAATTTTTGTCTTTTTTCCTCACAATTGCACATTTATATCTCGCAATTATGACTTTTTTTCTCTCAATTGCACATTTATATCTCGCAATTATGACTTCTCACAATTATGACTTTTTCTCACAATTGCAAGTTTATATCTCGCAATTATGACTTTTCTCACAATTCTGACTTTTCTCGCAATTGCGAGTTTATCACAATTATGACTTTTTTCTCAGAATTGCGAGTTTCACAGTTTGCGAGTTTATCTCGCAATTCTTTGACTTTTTCTTGCGATTGAGAGTTTATATCTCGCAATTCTTGACTTTTTTCTCAGAATTGCGAGTTTCACAGTTTGCGAGTTTATCTCGCAATTCTTTGACTTTTTCTTGCGATTGAGAGTTTATATCTCGCAATTCTTGACTTTTTTCTCAGAATTGCGAGTTTCACAATTTGCGAGTTTATCTCGCAATTCTTGACATTTTCTTGCGATTGAGAGTTTATGTTTCGCAATTCTGACTTTTTCTCGCGATTGAGAGTTATATCTCGCAATTCTGACTTTTCTTGCAATTGAGAGTTTATATCTCGCAATTCT